GGGAACTTAGGAAGAGGCATCATTCAGAGTCAGACCATTGATCCATCTAGCTCAGGATGTCACCAGCCCTACCTGGAGATGCCAGAGATTTCACCTGGGGCCTTTTGCATGCAAACCAGATACCCTACCACTAAGCTACAGCCCTTCCCCTAACTGAAGGGCTGGCCAGCCCAAACAGAGAGGCAGCCTCAAACTTCCATGAGTTTCATTGTCTCTCAGACCTGGGACCCAGAGAGGCATCTCCCAATGGCTGTGCTCCTTACAGGAAGGCCTCTACTTCCCTCCATCCTGACATTGGGGTGGGGGCTGGAGGAGGCAGCAGCCCTGGCGGGGCTGTTGAGCTGCTGTTGGCACTTGCCTCCTCGTGTGTGAGCAAAAAGACAAGGTGCGAGCATGCTCAGTTATACAGTATGCATTTGGCAAAGCCTGAACAGCATGCTTATTTCCTGTCTCCACATTCTTTTCTGCCTGCGTTTCTGGGACTGATAGATCTAAATGTCTTCTGTGTATGAGAGAGCTGGAATTGTGAGTACTTGCTCTTATCTGGGGTTGCATAGAGTTGTTTCCAGAAGGCAAAAGGGGAAGGGGTGTTGTGGCTGAGCTTTAGGAGGGAGGGAGACAAGCTTCGGGACTCAGGGCAGTAGCTCAGTGGTGGAACATCTGCCTTGCATGCAGAAGGTCTCAGGTTCAATCCTCGGCATTCCCAGGGCTCAGAGAGAAACCTCTCCCAGAAATCCTGGAGAGCCGCTGCCAGTCCGTGCAGACACTACTGAGCTAGATTGGACCAGTGACTCAGTACAAGGCAGCTTCAAAATGCTGTTGTTCCGTTGTCTGTCTTTGTATTGTCACTCTTGATTGTTAGTCATAATCCCCAAGCCGCTGGGCTCTTTTTCCCCTAAAAATATCTGCCTGGCGGAGGCAATATTTGTGTGGCTGAAGCTTGTGGTCTCCTGACTCAGATTAAACCCTTTTCCTGGGTTCGTGGAAAACACGGTTTTTGCTAGAGGCAGTCTCTGAAAACTACTGGCATTGATATCACACTGGCTTTGAATTCATAAGGTCCCGCGTTCAACACCTGGCACATCCAGGTAGATCTGAGGACTCTAGTCTAAAATGCTGGACAGCTGCTGCCAACCATTAGAGACAATGCCAAGCTAGATGGACCAGCACTCTGACTTGGCACCGTGCCATCTCCAAAGGATTCCCACAGTCAGATTCTCAACAGCCTGTTTCCCTGAAGGAAGCCCTACCAAAATGTTTAGGACTTACTATTGAGTTAGATCTGCATAGGATCGCAACTGAGGCTGTGTTTCTCTGGCCTAGCAAGGTCTCGGTGTCATAATGATCGGATCCCTTTAATAAATGTACTGAGTTGTCGTTTGACGCCGTTGTCGCTGCTGTCTGTTGACATCCTATGCAAACAGCTTTGGAGAGCTGCTCAGATGGTGGCGGGGGGTGGGGGAGAACCATGTAGAAATGTTTTAAGTAATTAAATACAGTGGTACCTTGGTTTAGAAGCATAATCTGTTCCGGAGGTCTGTTTGTAAACCAAAACAGGTTGTAACCGAAGGTGGGCTTTCGCCAATGGGTCCTCCATAAAAAATTCATTCGTAATCCAAAAAAAGGTTGCAAACCGGGACACGCACTTCCGAGTTTGATGTGTTTATAATCCAAAACGTATGCAAACCAAGGTACCACTGTAAATTACAGAAGCAATGAATATTGTTTTAATTAGACTGCACACACTTTTTCTTGCTTTAAAGAATCTGGCTGCAGAAGTGGGCCAAGTACCATGGCAGGGAAGGGGAGCCTTGTGGCCCATAGGATATTACTGGACTCCAACACCCATCATCCCTGACCATTGGCTGTGCTGCCTATTATTGATGGAAGTTGGGAGTCCAGCAACATATGAAGGGCATTTACCAACTGCAGGGCCATTCCTGTCTACTCAGAAGTAAGTTCCACTGAGTTCAATGGGGCTTACTACTGGATAAGTGGGTGTAGGATTGCTCTGCCTATCATTCTTTCAGTTTATAGTTTTTTTAATTAGTTTTTTATTAAGGATTTTCTTGTGTTACAAAACAAACAAACAAGGAAAAGTACATATAGCTTCCCCATATTTAATTCATTGAGTCTTTTTCATGGTTCATTTACATTCGGTATCATAATTGTAGAGTTGGAAGGGACCACAGGGTCATCTAGTCCAACCCCCTGCAATGCAGGAATCTTTTGCTCAAGGTGGGGCTCGAACTCACAACCCTGAGATTAAAAGTCTCATGCTCTACTAACTGAGCTATCCCATATAGTTATGACACTGTTGTCATAGACAAGTTGAAATAGTTAAAGGGTAGTAAAAGAGTGATAAGGGAGGCCTAGGCGCTATAGCACCTCTCTGTGTCCCATCTGCTTTGCTCCAGAGCAGTGGTTCTCAAAGTGGGTAGGACTGCCCCCTGGGGGTGATGGGATTATCTGGGGGTGCTAAAAGGCAAGGGAGAGGCAGGGGAGATGTAAATGTCTCTCATACTTTGAAAAGCTGGTATCACTGTGTCAAGTGCATCAGTTCTGTTGAATTAAACTTAATAGTTTTAACTGGATGTTGAATGAATGTGCAATTACCGTATTTTCCCATTTATAAGATGCCCCCATGTATAAGACGCCCCCTATTTTGGGCGACTCGATTTAAGAAAATGGGGGGAGATGGACCAGAGTATAAGAAGCCCCCCTAATTTTTGACATTATTTTTTAGGGGGGAAACCTAGTCTTATACATGGAAAAATACGGTAATTGTTGCAGTTTTGAATTTTATTGTGTGATTACCTTCCTTAGTGGGCCATGCAAACCATTATTCTGAATATATATATTTTAATAGGTTAGGGGGCACTGGGGATGCACCAAGGGGGTAGTAGGTGAAAAAAGCTTGGGAACCTCTGCTCTAAAGCACAGGTGGGGAGCCTCAGACCTGGGGCATCAGTCCACAGGGAATGGTAGTTGCCCCCGCCAGCCCCAATAAACCCCGGTAAACTTCAGATTCCCAGTTTTCATTTTAAAAACAGAGCAAGTTTCTAGCATTTGTGGAACCTGAGATATGAGGTAAAAATGTACCGGCACTATTCTTCTTATGTTTTTGTGAGAAAGTTGCTTGCTCCCAACCCTGGAGCAAAAATTTCTGATTTCTATGGCCTGGGGCCCCAAATGCAGCTCCCAAGGCCTCTCTCTATCTGGCCCTCAAAACTTGCCCCAAGCCACACACCCTTACTTGCCCCACTTTGCACCCCAAGTGGGTTTTTCCTCCTGGCTGAAATGTCTTTTTCAACTCCAATAATGCATCAATCTTGCTTGTCTGGATGGAGGATAGAGAGGGGTGTGGTGTGGGGATTATGTGTTTAGAAACTAGCTTAAGGGTCAGCAATTTTTTTCAGCAGGGCGCTGGTCCACTGTTCCTCAGATCTTGTGGGGGGCCGGACTTTTTTTTTTGTTGGGGGGGGATGAACGAATTCCTATGCCCCACAAATAACCCAGAGATGCATTTTAAATATAAGGACACATTGTACTCATGTAAAAACACACTGATTCCCGGACCATCCACAGGCTGGATTTAGAAGGCGATTGGGCCGGATCCAGCCCCCAGTCCTTAGTTTGCCTACCCATGAACTAGCTCCTGTGCAAAATTGAAATAAAATCCATGTTTAAATCCTCAGTCACTTTGGGCCAGCCAAAATCTCTCAGCCTAACCTACCTCACAGGGTTGTTGTAATGAGACAGGAAAGTTTCAGTGCTTTTTAAGGAAATGTAGTGGGGGATAAATATTGATATATTAAAGACATTTGTATGGACCTGACAGTCTTCCAGTAATCCAAAGGGCTGTCCCCCAGACGAGGGCAAAGACTTCCAGGTGACCTGTTTACGGTGCATTTTGTCGCTGACTGGTTTTAGATTATGTTGTCTCAAAGCGTTATTCCCACACTTTATGGTACATTCCCCCATGCCCCCCATCAACTTCCTTATCATAAAAAATCCAATCGATTGAAGGAAGAGGGTTGCTTAGGCAAGAACGCCAAATCAACTTTAGTTGTGCAACATGTGATATTATTTATTTATCTCAATTTTATTTACTGTACGATTGTACCAACACTTGTAAAAAACACACCCAGGTATTTAAAAATATTTGAAAGATAATTAAAATCAAAAGTAGTTAAATAGAGATAGAACACATGCAATGTCTATACGTCTACATAGGCTTGCTTAAACAAAAAAATGTTTTAAGCAGGTGCTGAAAACATATTGGTAGCAGTGTCTAAACAAGAATGTTTTTAGCAAGCACTGTAAAGAGGACTGTGGTGGCAATGTCAATAGGCAGGGAGTTCCAAAGTTTAGGAGCTGCCACACTGAAAAAACGATTTCTGACAAGCGTGGAATGAGTATTATGTTGCACAGATCAAAATGGTCGAGCGGTCATATATGGGGTGAGGGGCTCACACAAGTCTTACTGATCCCCAGCTTTATATACTAATAGTAACACATACTGAATATCACTCCGAAATAGCAATGCTCTGGACGTACCTTTCTTCCCTGCTGTCCTCCACCCCACCTTCAGCAACAGCTGGGTGCAGAATAAGCTTAGGTTATAGGGGAGGATATTTTGGTTAAACATTATGAGAAATCTCTTGTGCACTAGGACCTTTCAATAATGAAATCCATTTCTTGGTGGCTCAACGATGCTTCAGATTAAATTATGGGATTTAAAATATTTTTATTCCCTATATTATGTCTTCTTTTTTAACAAAAAAAAACCTTTTCATATACCAGCCTATAGCAACCTGGTGAGATGTCTTGGTCTGGAGAAGGCTGCTCTATAGAAATGACTGGGTCACACCCGGTGTTTCAGTTCAGCGCCTGATGCTCCAGCCGCGCGTGCGGTTCTCTCGCTCCCCCTAGCGGCGAGTGCAATACATATATTATATACAGTATTAAAATTCACCATCCTTGCAGAGAATTCCTCTTTCGGCTGCTCTCCTCCGCTGCTTAACGCTGCACGTGTTGCACGCTGCAGACAAGGGAGAGGAGCCACCCACTCTCTTCGTTTGCCCTTCCCCGGTTCTCGCCTGTAAAGGTCATTCCCCTCCCCCTTGGCTGGAGAGGTCGGGGGATCAAGAGGTCCCCCCCCCGGGAGGGGTGTGGCAGAAGGCTGGGAGGCAGATTGCTGACCATGCCTAGAAGGTGGCTTGTTAAAGGAGATAGATATAAAAGAAATCTGAATTAAAGCATCCGGCGAAGGAGGTGCAGAGTGACCACCCGTTCTTCCAGCCAGCCCTCTGGGAATCCAGCTCATGCAACCCCCAGTTAAGCCAATGCAAAAGGAGCAAAAGCAACGAATCGGTGTTGGGAGCCGGCATGGTCAATCAAACAGTCCTCATTGAGCAAGCCAGGCACGTCTGTGTTCTATTGTTGAGGGCAGACGCCATGCACAGCCTGTGCGGGGACTAATGTGAGAGACCCGAGGAAGATGGCGTATATACAGGTAGGTCTGAGCAGCACCAGTGGGGAGAGAGAGAGATGATTGGGGGTGGCGGTGGCTGCAGACCCAGAGGTTGCGGTGTGGGGAGAGGCAGAGGGAGGGCAGCCTTTGCTTGCAAGGAAGAGAACTAAAACAATGGCAAAAACCCTAATACAAAAAAAGCTGTCGAGGTTTTCTCCTTAGTTGCTACCTGGCAAAAGGGAGGATCCCCCATTACTCTGAAACTTGAGCGACTCGAGTTGTGAGTTTTCGAGTTGCTGACTTTGCTGGAAGAAATTGCAACCTGTAGCATACATTTCTTTTTTTAAAGTAGCTGGCTGTAATTTTATTCTGCCTTGTCCTCCCTTCCTCCTTTCAATTTTATTGACTAGCAATCGTCAGAGTAGGAAAATAAAAGCCGTTGTTTTTGCTGGCGGTTGGGAGAAGCACTTGGAGGTTAATGGAAGAGCTCCATGGGGGGAAAACAAGGGTGGTTTTTTAATGAGGGAGGTGGGAAATGAGTCCCTGAGATGCTGCTCAAAGTTAATGGCATGATTGCGTGCAAAAATGGGGTTTGGTGAGAAATAGGTCTCTCAAATCATGCTGAAAGTGTGTGTGTGTGTGAGAGAGACAGACATATATATATATATATATATGTATTGTGCATGACTTTAAAAGTACATGGCTGCTACCCCATGGGTCTTTTAATATGTGTGCATATAAATAATGACATGTGGATAGGTGGTTTTTGTAAAAATACTTGCTGCGTGTGTATTAGTGATTCTGGGTGCTCCATGAGGTTCCCTCCTCTCCTCCCAGAGATGTGGTTGTGTGACGACTTGCATGTACACTGTGGAAACCTGCAACTGAAGGAGAAGGTGTGTGAGAGAAATGTAAATAGAACAGAATTTGCACTCGGGGCTCTGGAGTAAAGCAGGTGAATCCTGTTTGTGTGTGAAAACTCCTTTCGGATTACACTTTGCTGTGACAGTCCAGAATTTTTGACTGCAGGCCATAGGCGTCAATTCCCTGGGGCCCTGGGTGCCCGAGCACCCACAAAATTCTCCATGAAGGAGCTGGGTAGCTGCAAATTTAGGTGCCAGGGCTATGCATGCTGCATGGCACCCATGGCCCCAGGCACCCACGGCCATGGGGCCAAACTGGTACTCCTGCTGCAGGCTATGTGACGGCAACACTGTGTTTCCCCTCCTTTTAAGGGACGCTTAAGGTTACCGCTAAACAAAACAGTATTAAAAAGGTGGTCTTTCCTTCCTTGAAAGCTTTTAAGCAGAGGTTGGATGTCCATCTGTCAAACTCACTGCTGGGGTGCATGGATGAGGTTGCTGGATTCTGCAGCGTAAAGGTGGTGAAAACACTATCAAGCAGGAGCTGTCTGCAAGGAGGGCAAAGGGTCCTCAGACGTTTTAAGAAAGAAATCCCCAATTCTTCTGATTGATTTTATTGTGAGCATTCAATTCACTAAGGAAAGCATTTATTAATTAGCTAGCCTTTCTTCCAAGGCAGACTTTCAAATTTCAGCGGTATCCTGTGTGAGGCCAAAATTCGGTGGTGCCCCGCCTCTCGCCTTCCATCCTGCTCAATTCACTGTGTCATAGTTGTGGTGCTCTGCGGCGCCCCCTAGGCTCGGTTCCCCTTGTGGTGGAACCGGTCATGTGGACCAAATCCATCTCTGAACCTGCCTTATACCAATGCGATATGTCAGGTGAGGGGAACATTTAGCCCCCCTTTCCAGCTGTTGCTGAACCTGCACCACCCCTGACCATTGGTCATGCTTGCTGGGGTTGATGAGAGGGGTAGTTCAGCAACATCTGGAGGGTCAAAAGTTCCTCGCTCCAGATCTCAGTATCAGCTGCACTAACTGGCAGAGGCTCTCCTGGGTTTCAGACAAGGGTAATGCCCAGTCTTACCTGACTATGCCAGGGAATGAACCTGTGATGTTATGCATGCAAAACAGATGCTCTTCCACTGAGCTGTTATTATTATTATTTATTAAATTTGTATGCTGCCCTTCACTTGACGATCCCAGTTCACAACAAAAAAAAAATACAGAATGAGAACATGAAATACACAAAAAACCAAACCAACCAATAACTCCTATCCCTCCAACTCATTTGAAAGGCCATAGAATGTTTAACCTGCCAATGGCCTGGTTATAGAGAAATGTATTCACCTGATACCTAAAGATAGGTAGTGAAAGCGCCAGAGAGAAATTCATTTCAATTGACATATAAAGGTCAGTCTATCAGAGTGACACTTTCCAAAACAATATGCAAACCGAAACACAGGTATCCTTCAGAATTTGCACTTATCCACATTTTGCAATGCACTTTCCTCACCAAGCTGTGTGTCCAGAAATGGATTTATTTGCGGGAATGTGAAGATAAAAATGAATATATATACTGGTAAAAATAACATAAAATAATGCATTATCTTGGGAAAGTGCTTGCAGAAATGTGTGGACGAGTCGAAACTGCATATAAAGATGTGTTTATTGGGGGAAATTTGAACCTAAACTGCTGGTGGGTTTTCACGAGGACTTCTTTTCCAAAGTGTAAATTTTTGCAAAATGTGAAGAGCTGAATTTAAAATTGGGGAAAAGAATGAGAAATTGGGAGAGCCAAAATTGGCAGGTCTTTCCATCCCTTTGGATCACGGTGTGCACACTGGTGATTTAGGTCACCTTGAGTTGGTACAAGGGACTCACTGGTGGGGAGAGGGCTGTTGACTTCAGGTCCTGCTTATGGGCTTCCCAGTAGCATCTGGTTGGCCACTGTGAGGACAGGATGATGGACTAGGTGGGCCTCTGACTTGTTCCAGCAGAGCTGTTCTATTCTTCCTCTCATGGTTTCTTTGCCTTCTCTGTGGTAGCTAAGCTTGGTAGCAGACTGCTCTTCTCTGAAAACGCCAGATCAACCCTCAAACCTCAGATCAACCTTTTCAGACTTGCTAAGTACCAGGCCACACTGTGGCTTTTCATTGAGCCAGCATTCAATCCCTACAACAGGGACAGGAAACCTGTGGCCCTCCAGATGTTGCTGGACTCCAACTCCCACTGCCTGGGACTGATGGAAATTGGAGTCCCATAGGATGCTGCCTTATGCTGAGGCAGACTTTGGTCCACCCAGCTCAGTAATGCCTACACAGACTAGCAGCAGCTCTCCAGTATTTCAGGCTGGGTCATCTGTCAGCCCATCCTCTGGAGATGCCGGGGATTGAACCTTGGACCTTCTGCATACAAAGCAGGTGTTCTGTCGATGAGCTATGACCCTTCGTCAGCAACATCTGAAGGATCACAGGGTCCCCTTTCCTTCCCTAGAAGATTTCTTTAGATGACGCTATCGGTATGCAATGTGCTTTATGGAGTGCCGGAGGTGCAGTTCTCTGTCCCAAGGAGATTGCAACCTGAAATTCAGCAGAGGAAACAGCAACAGGTGAAGGGGAGGCAGTGGCAAAGCAGAAGGCAATATGCAGATGTATTGTTTTGCATGTGTTTTATTTATTTATTTTAACAACTCCTATACTGCTTAATGGGATGCGGGTGGCGCTGTGGGTTAAACCTCAGAGCTTAGGACTTGCCGATTAGAAGGTCGGTGGTTCGAATCCCCGCGACGGGGTGAGCTCCCGTTGCTTGGTCCCTGCTCCTGCCAACTTAGCAGTTCAAAACCACGTCAAAGTGCAAGTAGATCAATAGGTACCGCTCCGGCGGGAAGGTAAACAGCGTTTCCGTGCGCTGCTCTGGTTTGCCAGAAGCGGCTTAATCATGCTGGCCACATGACCCAGAAGCTGTACGCCAGCCGCCTTGGCCAATAAAGCGAGATGAGCACCGCAACCCCAGAGTTGGCCACGACTGGACCTAATGGTCAGGGGTCCCTTTACTTTTTATACTGCTTAACACCTCAGTCTCTTTAAGCGATGTAAAGTGAGGTGGAAAACGGTACAATGAAGATGAAATCAGTTAAAATTAATTATAAAACCAGAAGAATTTCTTAAAATGCCTAGTGGGATAGCTCAGTTAGTAGAGCACGAGACTCTTAATCTCAGGGTTGTGGGTTCGAGTCCCACCTTGGGCGAAAGATCTGCATTGCAGGGGTTTGGCCCAGATGACCCTCGTGGTCCATTCCAACTCTACAGTTCTGTTTCTGTGTTTCTATGAAATGGTAAATAAAGGTCATTTCTAAGCACTTGGAAAGCCAACAAGGAGGGGGCCTGTCAAATCTCCTCTGGGAAGGAGTTTGTGGGAAAAGGGAAAGTTGCCTTATACTGAGTGTAGGCTGTTGGTCCATCTAGCTCAATACTGTCTACACTGACTGGCAGCAGCTCTGCAGGATTTCTGACAGGGGACGTTCCCAGCACTACCTGGAGAAGCCAAGGATTGAACCTGGGACCCTCTGCTTGCAAGGCATATCCTCTACCACTGAGCTATGGCCCTCCCCACAGACAGTTTAGGCTTAATTATAGGATTAGATGTTGCAGGCACAGGGGGAACCAACATGATGCTTGCCTGGTGCAGTTGGACTCCCAGTGCCCATGAGCCTGCATGGCCAGTGGCTAGGGATTTTGGGAACTGTAGTCCAACAACACTTGACACCATAATGGATATCTACGCAGGGTGGCGTAGAAACTAGCAGATTGTGCCAGAGATGATTTTGAGTGTGAAGGTTCATGTGCATGCAAAGTAGTCCTGAGCATGTGCAGAAAATTCCGAACCACAACCATTTCTGACATCTTTGGAATATTTTCTTTTCCTTTCAAATGGTGCAGGGAAGGTAGACTCTGGCATAGAAACATAGATGTCTGCCTTATGCCACACTGTTGGCTCACCTGTCTCAGCGTTTCCTACACGGACTTGCAGCAACTCTGCAAGGTTTTAGACAGCTCTTCCTGGACTGGACTGGAACCTGGGTCCAAAGCAGATACTCTTAATACCCACCTGTGGACTTTCCCCAAGCCTCCTCTCTCTCCCCACCCAATTAACTGTTGTACATCTGAGGCTATATATTTATTCTGTGACATTTACAGCCTACTCTGCATGCCCTAAACCCACACTGGTTTCAATAGATGAATCACTGATGCCACCCCAAGGGGATACTGAATCTGTCCTTTAGATGCAGAGGCAGCGTGGTACTGAATGCCATCAGATGGATAGCAACAAGCGGGAGAGGGCTGCTGCCTTCTCACCTCCTCCTTGGGCCCTTTGTCTATCCAGCTCAATATTGTCTACACTGACTGGCAGTAGCTCTCCATGGGAGTCTCTGCTAGCGCTACCTGATAACGCCAGGGATTGAGCGTGTGGATCATCAGCATGGAAAACAGGCGCTGTGCCACAGTAGACTAACTGGGGAAACTCAGGCCAAGGCAGTGAGTGTGGCCCCCCAGACCTCCCCGTCTGGCCCTCAGAGATCTCTGCTGGCCACATCCTTTCCTGTTTTGCACCCATTGTGTTTTTGCTTGTGCCATTGAACTCTGATGGATGGGCGATGGGGAGGTGTGTCTGTAAACTGACCTACTGTACAAAGGTATAATTTACACTGGTTATTCCTCCCTACTGTAACTGGAGATAAGCCTAGGATTTAACTGTGAGGACATTTTGGGTGCATATATGTACCACAAAAGCATCTTCAGTGATCAGCCTTCTTTATGGTCCTGTATGGAAGTGAGAGCTGGACCATAAAGAAGGCTGATCTCCGAAGAATTGATGCTTTTGAATTATGGTGCTGGAGGAGACTCTTGAGAGTCCCATGGACTGCAAGAAGATCAAACCTATCCATTCTGAAGGAAATCAGCCCTGAGTGCTCACTGGAAGGACAAATCGTGAAGCTGAGGCTCCAGTACTTTGGCCACCTCATGAGAAGAGAAGACTCCCTGGAAAAGACCCTGATGTTGGGAAAGATGGAGGGCACAAGGAGAAGGGGACGACAGAGGATGAGATGGCTGGATAGTGTTCTCGAAGCTACAAACATGAGCCTGACCAAACTGCGGGAGGCAGTGGAAGACAGGAGTGCCTGGCGTGCTCTGGTCCATGGGGTCACGAAGAGTCGGACACAACTAAACAACAACAACATGTACCACAAAATTTATTATTTATTAATTGCCCACGTGTTTATTTGTTGCATGTTTATCCAAGGATCCTAGAGGGGAGCGTCATGCAGGCAGTCTTCCCCTGTATTCTCACAGCAACCCCATGAGGTGGGTGAGGCCAGGGCAATGCAACGAGCCCAACGGTGGGTTTGCTAGCTGAGCAGAGATTTGAAGCCAATACTTCCTGCTTCTATCCCAGTGCTCTAACCTCTATGCTAGAATGGCCCAATGTTGTTATTTGGGGCTGCTGTGTGTCACCTGCAGAGCTTCCAAAGTGCTTCATGATGGATTTGGCTTTCCTAACATACTCAAGAACATATTAAGTGCTCAAAGAAGATGTCTTTGGAGATGTAGCCTGGTTTTGTTTTATGGGACTTGATGGAGCCACAGCATTTGAACTTTCATTATACTGTATAGGGTACATAATGATCTAGAACGGAACATTGTTTTGCGGTACTTGATGGAGCTGTGTGCCATGTTCTGGTTTGATGCCAGAAGGCATGGGGAAAGCAGCAGGCAGGACTGGTCAAAGGTGGCTGGACCATGGACAGCTCCAATTGAGCAACATGTTTGACAAAGGCTGGGAGCAGACGAAGGGCTTTTGTCCTTCTGTCTCCAGACTAGGTTCTCCAGGCAACACCCATTTGAGAGAAATCCAGAGCCTCTGAATGCCAGTTACTGGGAATAATAAGTAAGGCAAGAACTGTTGTGCTCAGTTTCTGCTTGCAGGCTTCCCGTAGGGACAGTGTTAGAAACTCTGATATTTAAGCTGGATGCCAAATGTTGCAGAGGAGCCCACCTGAGAGGCACCGGAAATGAGTTCTGGTGAGCTCTGGCTGAAAAAAATCCCTGGTTTTCCCCACCAGATGTAAGAAAATATGCAGGGCCTCTGTTTTGCACACCCAGCACAATTGGTGAAGCTGGTGGCAAGACCAGCAGGAGCTCAAAGCTACACACCTAGTGAAATAAGGTTGTGAAGCCTTGAGGTGGTAGATTGGTTTGTACCGTTTCAGGTTTCCACAGGTACCAGAGGAGAGAGGCTGTAGCTCAGTGGTAGAGCAGCAGGTCTCCAGGCCAATCCCTGGCAACTCCAGGAAGCCCTGGGAAAGATCCCTGGCTGAAATTTTGGAGAGCTGCTGTCAACCAGTGTAGGCAATGCTAATCTAGAGAGACCAGTGGTCTCATTTTGGTATAAGGCAGCTTCCTGGAAATGCCGAGGATTGATCCTTGAACTTTCTGCATGGAAAGCATGAGCTTCACCACTGTTCCGAGTAAGTTAAGGCAGAGCAATTGTTGGATAATATCCAGGGACTCCTGGGGGAGGCAAGCAAGAGAAAGAAATGCAGCACAAACCATGGTTTCTAGCTATGTTTTGTGATAAAACCATGGTTTGGTTGGTATGGTGAGATTCCTGAGTGAAGACACTGTTATACTGCTGTATGTTTTTTTCAATGTTTGCTCCCTAGTAGACCTTCTGCTGCTCTTCTGGGATCGATAGGAGTTTTCAGTGCATGGCTGAAATTGCCTTTCCATCAAGAATTAAATTTTCAGTAAGCAGCCTCTGTGCAGGTTGAGCAAAGTCTTGGAAATAATTCAGCAGAACCATCCATGGATCAAATTTTATCGCATCATGAGTCATGCATCAAATTACTTGCAATACTTTTTTTTAATTAAAAAACACACACACACACAATGCCAGCATTCATCCGAAATTAAGAAGACATTCTTGGGTGTATGATATTGTGCTCATCAGGATCTGATCAGGTGATGGGTTTAGACACACCCACAGTTAAGCCACAAAAACGTGTGTGCATGCAAAATGTTTCTGTGCATCTGCCATAAATTTGTGTGACGTACGTGGGTTAGATGCACGGACGATGCAATTAGAGGCATGGCCCATTTTCTGTGCTGAGGTACGTCATTTCTGCTTCTCACTCCATCCCTTTGCTCTTATCGAGGCAGAGGTCGCTGAACAAAGTATCCTGTCTAAACATCGGGAAATAAAATCATTGCAAATGAAAATCAACCAAACAGCACACATTCTGCATTTACAAATAACGTGACTGGTGTTCTGGCATTAAATAACAAATAGGCATTCAATAATTAGGCATTTGAATAGCACGATTGGCAACCTGATTGCAGCCGTGAGAACCAGTATGTGGTGCAGTGCCTAAAGATCAGAGTTGGGGAGCTTGACGGCCTCCTAATGTATCTGGAACTCCAACACCCATCAGTCCCGCTCAGCATGGTCCATAGTTGGGTATGAAGGGAGTTGCATACCCGAGGGCACCAGTTTGGAGAAAGCCTGCGTTGAACAAGTACAAAGCAGGTAAGGATTGTAGTCTTAGAACCCAGGAGAACAAAGCCTTAAGCACATTCACTTTGTGGGGGCCTGGTCAAAGCCAGGGCTGACTACCCAGGGGGAAATTTGGGATCAGGTGAGCTCTTTCAGAAGGAAACAGAAATAGCAGCTTGGTAGGGAAAGTGCACAGAATAAATTGATTTCCCCCGGAGATCCTTTTCAACTTCAGTAAAATATGTAGGACAATAAGAGCTGAAAATAGTATCATTTTTCTAGAAATCAAAGCCATGGCACCAAGCAGGGAGGGCAGGTATTTGGGGATCATTAGAGCTTTGCTAAACTGGTCTTGTCTGTTTCATTTTCTTCCCCCTTGCTTCATCATGGATATCTAAAAGGACAGTTGGAACCAATAAATGAGGTGAGTTAATCTGGTGACTCATTCTGCCTTCTCTTGCCTCTCCCCAGGCAGAGGGAGATGGTTGTGCTTTTTCATCTGCTCGTTTGCTTTGTCTGTCTTTGGTTTCTGGCTTGCAAAATCTCTTCCTTGGCAAAGTGCATCTTGATTTCTGTAGGGCACATTCTTTTTCCTTAGTTTCCTTTTCTAGTGCAAAATGCGAATTGCCTTTGCTGATCATGTGGCAGGCTGATTTCAGTCACTTTGGCTGCAGATGTTCCATGCAGTATCTGGTACTAGATTCCAAATCTGGATTGCATGGGAATCTTCACTTTAAAAAGCACAGTTATAGCCCTCATACTTTTAATTGTCACATGTTTCAGTGTGCTTGTGATGTCTCTTGTGCACATAAACACTGCTGTGCACTCTAGAATTTGTTGACTAGAAACCTTTCCATAAATAGAGAATAATTTTTTATTTTATTTAGAACATTTGAACCCCACTCTTCAATCAAAAAGTCTTCCAGAGTGGCTCACATACAATCAGTTAAGACAGTCCCTGTCCTCAGGTTTACAGTCTAAAAACAACAACACAAAAGGAAAGAGGGCAGGGAAGGAAGAGGAAAAAAATCAATCTCAGGCACTGTACCTGTTCTTAAATAGTTGTTCACATAATGACCAGTTAGTGTAGTTTGGCGTAGGAGAGTCCTGATGGTGCTGGTCTGTCACAGCAGAGCTGATGGAGTGAACCTTATATCCCAGCTCTCCCATTGAAGCAGCCTGCTCCCAGGTGACAACCGAGGGAGAGAAGGTTTGATGGAGTTTGTATGTCAGCTTCCTATCTGTCTGGCTCTTTCTGTCTGAAGAGCATTCATCCTCCATAATAGCAGAAAATGGGACACTCCCATGGATATTTGCTTCTCCCGCGTGGCTTATAGCGGGGATGGGGAAGTTTGTGCCCTCCAGATGTTGTTGGACTCCAACTCCCATCAGCCCCAGCCAAGTTGCATGCAGTTACGTTTAACTGCAGTTGCCAGCAATTGAACCAGGTCCCTTCTGTGCGCAAACCATCTACTCCACTTTGCACGGTTTCATTGCAGGACCTCATCGTCTGTATCAGCGTTGAGGAGCCCATGGCCTTTAGATGTTGTTGGACTCCAGCTCTCATCAGCACCAGCCAGTCAGGAACGATGGGAGACCAGCAATGTCTGAAAGACTGCAGGTTCTTCATCCCTGGCTTGCAACTCTGTTCTCCTAAAAGTGTGTGCCTCCTTGCCACTTACCCATACTTGTTCTGTTCCCCCAAATTGATTCCCCCAGATGTATTCGGGGAGAGGGTTGATGTACTCAGGTCCTGCTCGAGGGCTTCCAATGGTGACATCTGGCTGGCCACTGTGAGATCAGAATGCTGGACCAGATGGGCCATTGGCCTGATCCAGCAAAGTCTTCGTAGGTTCTTATGATTAATTGTAAAACAAAACACAACAACCCCCAAATTCATTCTGTTGAGTTCAGAATAAAGCATCTTATGTGTCTTATACTGATTTGATTAGTTCGTTTCTGCATTACAGGGAGTTGGACTAGATGGTCCCTTCAAATACAGTATTATGGTTAAATGATTTTGATGGGAAAACACCCTCCCTTTGGGGTGACAGCTGATAGTCATCCTCAGAGCAGGTTCACTGAAATGGACTTACATAAAATAATCCTAACTTTGGGATTTTTTCATGGTGCGTAGGAACAGGTCTCCGTTAGGATTCATGAGTGCTGTGAGCTTGTTATAATGGTGAAATTAACGCACTTTATAAATACAAAAGAAAAAAAAGAGACAAGCTAGCTGTGAGTGGGGGAGAATTAGAAGCCGAGACAGTTGTAGTACAAAGTTGTTGTTTCCACAAATGGATGTTCTGTATGATTTGAATTGCTCTACTCAGACATAAGAATGTTCCTAACGGGAGAGATTAACAGTACTCTTTTCTTTTAATTAAGGATAAAACCTGCCTACCTAAGCAGTGGAGTCATAAATAGAAATATATAAACATAGAGTAAGATACTCAATTCAGTTAGAGCTTAACTGAAGTACAGAATTTAGAACTGACATGAAGCCATTTAAACTTGTGGTGAAAATATGCAAAAAGAAATGTTCATTTTGGTTACTGATGTGTGAATATGTGACAAGAATTTGACGTTCTCAAATTCACTTATGGATTTGATAGCATATGTTGCATGGCTTTGCTTTTTCCTTTTATAGTATTTGTGGAATGTGTTGGAACAACGACACTCAAAAAATTTATATGCATGGACCCCCATTCAATCAAATAGAAATGGCTACAAATAAAAGACTGCCTTTTGACAGCCCTTAAAAATAGAGGAATATCCTCTGCAAAATAGGACGCATGGTCACGCTTTTCTTGTTTATATCTTAAGTTGGGACTGTGGGCTGTATCTAGTGTTACCCTAATCAGAGTATTTCAGTTGAAATGAATGGACAGGAAATTAAAACTATTGATTTCAGCGGTTGGTTGGAAAAGCCTAAGTTGGTTGGAAAAAAACCCCCTTAGATAAGTAACTTGCACTTCTTTCACATCAATGGAGTAAACATAGGAAGCTGCCTTATACAGACCATTGGTTAACCTAGTTCAGTATTGTCTACACTGGCTGGCAGCAGCTCTCCAGGATTACTGGCAGAGGTCTCTGCCAGCCCTACCTGTAGATGCCAGGGATAGGACCTGGGACCTTCTGCTCTGCCACTGAGCTGCCCCCACCCCCCAAATTAAAGAAGGTCTTCAAAAGGGAGTTTATATGTGGAAGAGGCTCCTCCCTAGCGACATTTACATAGGAAGGCATTAATTCCAGGTCCGCTGCAGGAAAGAAAAGCAGCGGAAACAACACACAGGCACACCCAGCTGAAATCCAAGCCCTGCACCTCAATTACAACTGAGTGTTTATGCTTGCCAGCCACCAACTGGTTGTAATTTTTGCTATCTGGTTTCCAACGGCCTCAGGGCCTGTTGTCTAGAATCTCGGATCTCTTGCTGTGCAGATGGACTTGCCGGAACTGTTGCCAGAAGTGTTATGACTGCAGCTGTTGCCAGTCGAGCGATGACGAAGTGGAAATCCTGGGGCCTTTTCCAGCACAGACGCCTTCCTGGTTGTAAGTCTGGATTCTGCTTTTAGGAGCCCGCTTGTTCCCCTTTCACTTCGGTTTTTACAAAGATCCCTTCCCATCTGGATTGGTTGCTTGTTTCTAACAGGCACTGACAATATGCATTTTTTCAAAAAAGAAAAACAACAATATGCATGTTAAATGCAAAGCTGTAGTTTGGCCCTGTGTTAAGGTTGTGAGAGAAATTCGATTCAATTCACGTTCAAAGGTGAGCTACCTGATTCGGATTTCCAATAACAATACGCAGACCAGAACAAAGCCATCCTTTGAAATTCTCTCTTAATTTTGCAATGCGGTTCTCCAGCCAAGTAATCTGTACGAAAATGCATCTGCTGAGGGCAAGTGTGCATAGAAATGTGTGTATTAATGAAAATAACATAGAAAAATGCATTATCATTAGGGCAAGCCGCTTTGCAAATATGTGTATATTAGGACTAATTTGCACTAAATTGTTGATGAGTTTTCATAAGGGCTTAACGAAAGTAAATTGCAAACGGATGTGGAAAACTGAATTTAAGATTGGAAAAATGAAGAACGGAGAGAAACCGAAATTTACAGATTAGCCCACCCTTGCCTTGTCTTTGTGGAGATGCCTCTTTTCAGTCAAGTAGATGTCACCTCCATTAATGTGTGTGAAGTGTTGGATATCCCGGGGTGTTCTGGTTATTCCTACCCACCCCCATCCTTCAGATGAAATTTATATTTGTATTCTCTTACTAAATTTCTTATGTGTACCACAGTAACAGTCTCATACCTAGTGTTGCTCAGGAAGAACCCCCTCCAAATCAGTGCGGTTTTGAAAAGCTCAGTCCACCATCTTGATTCAAAATGGCTTCCAGTTGTGTTCAAACATAGATCCAAACCTACTCCTTGTTCCTCAGGAACCATTATGCAAAATTTGGTTAAAATCAGCGCACATGCACCTTTCCTACTGCTGGTGTCATTGGAGGTGGGACAGGTGAACTTTAGGGTGGAAACAGGAGATACAGAGTATAAAAACCCTGACTTATAAAAACCCTGACTGGACTGTAACCTGCTAAACAAAGACAAGAGTCAATACTGTCTCTATTTCTTTTACTGGCACCACTCCCCTCTGGTTTGTGCCCCTTTAGGTGAAAAAGGTTCTTGGCCCCCATGTAGTGACAACCCAACCTTCTTTGTTTGTCTACAAAAGCTATTTATTTTCCAAAACCTTTAGCAAGCAAGGTAACTTGTGCTCTCAGCTAGCAAGGCTTCATTGTTTTACCAGTCTATTAATGCATGGGGACTCCAGAGTTGGAACAGAACTAATAATTTCATCTCCAACATTCAAGACCGGAGAATAATGATGTTCTTACTGTACCATACAGAGCTGGCAACTTGGCTGTCTTGCTAAAACTAATCTAATTATGTTGACTTAGCACACATGGCAGCAACACCTTCCTGTCATTTCCTCTCTAATATTTGCTTTCCTGCTTTGTTGGGAAAAGATAAATTGTAGCAAAGAGCGGTAGGTGCTCTTCAGCTTTGCAAATTACAAAATGTGTGACACGGGTGTTTAAAATGATTAAAAAAAAAAATACTTGGTGAGATTAAACTGAAATTGCAGCTTGGTTCTTCTTTTCTGGTGGCCCACATTAAAGAAAAACTAGGAGCTCTTCTGATTAGAGCCAGGATTTAGAAGTGGACATGTCAATACTCTGGTGCCATGATGCCGTCAAGGTCCCACCTACATGTCCCTGTGGTGAGCATGGTGAAGCAGTACTCTGCAGTGTAGCTTCATGTCCATCAATTAATGTCCCCCTGATGTCAGCTGATGCACAGGTGGGCATGGTTTGGGCATCAACATGGACCAACTTGGGTGTCTGGTGGGCCAGGATTGGCCTGTGGGCTGTAGGTTCCCCTACCTCTGTAGTAGAGAAATAGAATGGGGGGCGGGGGGCGGAGAGGAATGAAAATATATTATTGTCTAATTTCAGAGGCATTGAGTGTGATTGTGTTGCCATTTTTACACTCTTCCAACAATTTCTCAGAAATTGGACAATTGCAAAACAGAAAAATCCTTCCATTAAAGTAAATTAATTTGAATTTGGAAGCTGTGCTTCAGAACAAGCCAGAATATAAATATGTATTAGTAGCTTAGAATCTTTAAGGAGTTAAAAATAAGAAAGAGGTAGCCCTTGGGCCACCTCTTTTGTGCCTCATAAGTACCATTTTGTTTGTAAAAGTGGGGGGATTTTTTTAATGCCCTTTCCTTTTTAAAAAATATGCCCATAAACAGGACAAAATGGATCTGATCTTTTGTGGGGTGGGGGCAAGGCAGAGGCATGATATGTTATTGATGATGGTGATGAATGTGCACAATTAAATGATTTGCAGTAATAAACTAAGAAACAGGGCTCTCCATACAGGCTTGTGGTGCAAATAATAAGAGAGTATAGCAATGAAGTTCTGAAGCACCACGTTCATAGATTAATTCAATTGAGGGAGGAAATGCAGTGCTCATCCTGGAAGAGAGTTCAAGATACAGTGGTACCTCGGCTTAAGAACTTAATTCATTCTGGAGGTCCGTTCTTAACCAGAAACTGCTCTTAACCTGAAGCACCACTTTAGCTAATGGGGGCCTCCTGCTGCTGCTGCTGCACGATTTTTGTTCTCCTCCTGAAGCAAAGTTCTTAACCCGAGGTACTATTTCTGGGTTAGCGGAGTCTGTAACCTGAAGCGTATGTAACCCGAGGTACCACTGTATTTCATTTTGACAGGGTGAGCAATCGAAGTGACGACAGGGATGGCGACTCTGACAACACTACAACAAGCGAGCCCCCTCCAACCCCTCAGGATGTTTCGCTGGACAGAAGGCGGTCGTCTTCGGATACATCCCGATCCACTTACAGCCTCACAAGACGAATTTCAAGTATGTTTGCCACGACCCACCTTTTTGGCATTTTGGCGACGTGTGTATGTGTGTGTGTGTGATACCTCCTCAGACCGTGAGGCATGGGGCTGCCCCCCAGGGCTGCCCTCCACTCTGTTCATTGGGTGTCTTATAAAGGGGCCCCTGTGTGCGATGTAAGTGCATTACAGGCTTCCAGGTGAGGAGGCGATGCAGATGGGTCCCCTTTATGTGGAGAAGCACTACACAAGAATATCAGCATTTATTTAGGGCTTGTTCTCAAAGTGGCTGTACATGTGGCCTGTGGGGGAGCGGGGAGTGTCTGGAAGGCGCATTGGGGCTGGGGGCAGGTGCAACACAATCAGCACAACCCATCATGATGATGTTGTGGTCTGAGGCCAGCTCCCATGGGCCAAGGCAGGTCAGGAGTTGACTTCATGTAAATCCAGGGCTGTGATGAGGCACTACAATTGCTCCAATAGGGGTTGTGCGATGACATACTTACATTTTTATTATATAGAGAGGGTCCCAGTCCCAGGGTCTGCACTATACATTTTTGGACCTGGGAGGCCAAGGTTCAAATCTCCACCCTGCCATGAAACTCATTGGATGACCTTGTGCCAGTCACTGCCTCTCAGCCTAACCTACCTCACAGGGTAAAGGTAAAGGGACCCCTGACCATTAGGTCCAGTCGTGGCCGACTCTGGGGTTGCAGTGCTCATCTCACTTTATTGGCCGAGGGAGCCGGCATACAGCTTCCGGGTCATGTGGCCAGCATGACTAAGCCGCTTCTGGCAAACCAGAGCAGCGCACGGAAAAGCCATTTACCTTCCCGCTGGAGCAGTACCTATTTATCTACTTGCACTTTGACGTGCTTTCGAACTGCTAGGTTGGCAGGAGCGGGGACCGAGCAATGGGAGTTCACCCCGTCGCGGGGATTCGAACCGCCGACCTTCTGATTGGCAAGTCCTAGGCTCTGTGGTTTAACCCACAGCGCCACCCGCGTCCCTTCACCTCACAGGGTAGTTGGGGTTAAATGAGGAGGGGGAGGAAGAAGAAGAAGAGTAGAAGAGTTTGGATTTGATATCCCGCTTTATCACTACCTGAAGGAGTCTCAAAGCAGCTAACTTTCTCCTTTCCCTTCCTGCCCCACAACAAACACTCTGTGAGGTGAGTGAGGCTGAGAGACTTCAGAGAAGTGTGACTAGCCCAAGGTCACCCAGCAGCTGCATGTGGAGGAGTGGGGAATCGAACCTGGTTCCCCAGATTACGAGTCTACCGCTCTTAACCACTACACCACACTGACACTGGGTACACCACATTGAGTTCTTTGGAGAAAAATGTGGACTATAAATGCAACAAACAAAATAATAATAGGGGCATCCTAACACCTCTCAGCACCCATAACAAACTACACTGCCCACGATTCTCGGGGGGAAGCCATGACTGTTTAAAGTGGTATGATTGCTTTAAATGTATAGTGAAGTTGGGGCCTATATCTCTGCAGTCAGTGTGAATTAGTGCCTTGTTCCACCATTTGCTCTTTGTTACGCAGGTCTAGAGTTGAGGCGTCCAAGTTCTCCACTTATTGACATAAAACCTATCGAGTTTGGGATTTTAGGATCCAAAAAGGAAATAGTTCAACCGTCCATCCTGAGGAAAACCTATACTCCAGATGACTATTTTAGGAAGTTTGAGCCGAGACTATATTCCCTTGACTCTAACAGCGAAGACGTGGACTCCTTGACGGATGAAGAAGTCTTGGCCAAGTACCAGCTGGGCATGCTTCATTTTAGCACGCAATACGACCTCTTGCACAATTATCTCATTGTCAGGGTGATTGAAGCGAGGGATCTGCCTCCCCCAATTTCCTACGATGGCACTAGGCAGGACATGGCCCACTCGAATCCTTACGTGAAGATTTGCCTCTTGCCGGACCAGAAAAACTCCAAGCAGACTGGAGTGAAGCGCAAAACCCAAAGCCCGGTCTTCGAGGAGAGGTACACATTTGACATCCCGTTTTTAGAAGCCGAAAGGCGGACCCTGCTGTTAACCACAGTGGATTTTGACAAATTTTCACGCCACTGTGTCATTGGTAAAGTGTCGATGCCTTTGAGTGATGTGGACCTTGTGAAGGGAGGACATTGGTGGAAAGCTCTGGTCCCCAGCTCTCAAGTAAGTTTCAGAACAAAACACAACATGTTGACTGTTATTACTGTTCTTGGTGGTCTTGGCTGGGTGGTCTTTCCCCCCTCCTTCTGATTGTGATTTAACACTGGCAGTGGTTTAATGGTACAAGGAACAGAGATGTATTTGGTTGTGGCCTTGAATCTCTTGAATGTTCTCCCTAGGGAAGCCTGACAGGCTCCATCACTATACAGTGGTACCTCGGTTTAAGAACAGTCCTGTTTACGATTGATTCGGTTTAAGAATTCTGCAAAACTAGAAATAGTGTCCCGGTTTGAGAACTTTACCTCTGTCTAAGAACGGAATTTGAACGGTGGAAGGGCACTGGTGGCAGGAGGCCTCATTAGAGAAAGCGTGCCTCAGTTTAAGAACGGTTTTGGTTTAAGAACGGACTTCCAGAATGGATTAAGTTCGTAAACCGAGGTACCACTGTATTGTTATAGTGCAGAGCAAGACTGGTAAGACATTTGGCCGAGGGAGGAGGTGTGGCTTGGCTTGACTCCCAAGGGCCAGATGGAGAGGTTTAGAAGGCCGCATTGTACCCCAAGACCAGAAGTTCCCCAACCCTGGGGTATGTGGTGAAGACTTGGCTCTTTAGGGGGGTATAATGACAGTTGGTGTCGTGAAACAGCTAAGAGAGTGAGCTACAATTCAGACGGGGCCTGATTCAAATTTTGCCTCTGTCATAAACTCCTTAGGTAGCCTTAGGCCAGCTACCCTTTCTCAACCTCAGTCCTACCACCCCATCTGCAATTTCGGAGATAATAATATCGGCTTACTTTACAAGGCTGCAACTTGATAATGCAAGGGAAGTGTTCTGAACACTTGGAAATGCTGTACAAATGTTAAGTTGCTGTTAATAATAAAATCTGTTCTAAGTGCTTGTTTGATTATTGTAGTGCTTTATTATGGTTATTTGTGCAAAACGCTCTTCCTCCGTGGTTTTCTGTCATCAGAGGTTTCTACTAATGAATTCTTATTGTCTGACATGTGGGGGCAGAGGAATATAACTGTGCGTCTTACTGACTGTTTTATATACTGGTGGTCGTGTGCCATGCTTAGGTCCTGGCTGGGTGATTTCATCTCATATGCTCTGTGGTGCTCAGGGTCAATCATGGTGTGTGGAGGACAGGGTGGGCTGTTTGGCTTGGATCTCAAGCACAAAGCGGGGGGGGTGGCTCCTCAGATTTAGACACTTGTTCATTTTTTAGCCTTTGATAAGTTTCATAACATGTTTTTATGAGCATTGGAACCATGACACAACACTCTCAGCTTAGAGCTGCAAATCTAAGCAAATAAGATTTGTGATTTGGAAAATGCATCATTTTCTTCTGTTAACTGACATAGTTTTTGTCATGTCGAAGAGTTTAAACATTCACAAATATTAATAAAAATATCTGTTCTGGTAGCACAAAATTAGACCTAGACAATATCCTCTCAGATCAGCTGATTATGTAAATAAACCACTCATGTTTGGGTTGTTGGGGGAAGAAGGTTAATTTGTTTCTCGTGTGTTGTCATTTTTAATTTTGATTATGGCTAGGGGCTTCAAATGCTGGAAGTGGCCCAATTTTCAACATTGCGATATATCACCAGCTAAATATCACAATATCTCGATATATCACAATATATGTCTGTGGTGGCGGAGGGCCTTACTGGGCCTCCCCATGGTGGCAGAGGGTCCAGCCATACCTCCCTGCAGCAGCAGAGGGCTTTGCCGTGGCTCTCCATGGCAGCGGAGGGTGCACTGTGCTTCCCCGCATCAGCAGAGGTCCTTGCCCAGATAGAGAGGCTTGGACGGCCAGCGTTTGACCCTTGGTCCAGAGGTTTCCCCACACCTGCTGTAAGGGCATTTGTGATCCTTGGACATAGCTTGTAATGCCCTTTGTTTCAAACGCCCCACCTCTTGTCTTGTTTGATTCCTTCTTTGGCACGTCTGTTGCAGAATGAAGTTGAACTGGGAGAACTCCTGCTGTCGTTAAACTACCTTCCCAGTGCAGGAAGACTGAATGTAGACATCATTAGAGCAAAACAGCTGCTTCAAACAGATATGAGCCAAGGTTCAGGTACGGACTGGCGCTTTTCCAATAATGACTGCTGCACTTAATCGGAGGTGCTCTGGTACTGCTAAGATGTATAAGATTTCTGAAAGATGTGGATGTTTTCAACAGGGAACAGGATATTCTCCTTCCCAAAGCAGCTCTGAAAAATCCCAGCCCTAACGTCCTAATATGAACCAAGCCCCCGCCCCGCGGAAAATTTCAGTGCCAGGATATGCAAATCGACAAAGGAGTAGTGTGTCTCTGAGCATGTGCAGAGAATGTCTGTTCCTCACTGCTGTATCCAGCCTCCACTTGTACTGAGAGGGGTGGGACGGAGCACTCAGAATCAGAGGAGGCTTCTGAGAAGGTTTTGACTTCCACAGTCTTTGAAGAACTTTACCTTTATGACCTTTTCAGACCAGACATTTATGATTTGAGAAATGCCACTGGCACATCCAAATGTCAGTGTTTCTACAGAATAATGGTGGGAAATGTATTTTTTTTTAAAAAAGACAGCACCTGCATTTTACCTAAGGGGTGCCTAAAAATAACCATGAACCGGAAAACAATAAAAACAGTTCAAACTATGCCCAGTTGAAAATAGAGAGGTCCAAACAGCTGTGCCTCTTGCCTCGTGTGCTGGGCCTCAGGAAGGCACATTTCCGCTTTGTGGTGGGTGAGGTGGTGCCTGCCAAAAAGGCACGAATCCAGTTGGCTTTGTTGGGAGATAGTGCAAGAGGGCACTTTCAAGGGGTCCTCAGCACAGAGCTACCGGTCAGTCCCCGCCTCTTCAACTTGCACGGCTCACCCCACAACCCCAACCCACCCCCAGTACGGCCTTCAGCCCTTGTATCACCATGGCAACAACCTAGCTGCTGGAAGGGGCAGGAGAAATATGGAAGGGGAAGGAGAGAGAATTGGCAGTGGATTGCTGTGCGAAAGGATTGTGAGCTCAATTCTCACAACTCATAATCCCGGACTGAGCATATGCTAAGAGCTCCCTGATTCTTAATTCTTGAATGTGTGACCTCCACCCTAAATTTTTTATGCACCTGGCTCCAGTTGTGGATCTTGGGGTTCCAGTAGAAAGCAAAATAGATCCCTAAAGCCTGAAGTCTTCCCAGCAAATGCACATGGATCTATATTTAAGCTGTCCCCCCCCTCCCATCAATCCTCTTCCAGACTGCATACTGTATAAGTGGGAGACCTGAGGAGATTTTGTGCGTGTGTATGTTTTGCTTTCAGCATGGAGAAAATCAGCAGGCAAGTGGCGTTTAGAAGCTGCCCTTTCCCAACCATTCTTGGAATCACCAGAGGAGTCATTTTTGTTCCTCAGAAGCAGAAGTCAAAATGTACCCTGTTTACTTCCAATTGCAAACAACTGAAGGCTGGCCTTGGGGAAGGAAGGTCAGCTACGCTGTTCTTTTTGAGAGAGAGCAGGTTCTTTTCGGAAGATGTAATCTTCATAGGAGCGAGCAGGGAAAGAAGGTTACAGCCGAAAGAGGGAGGCTGAAGACTCACTACTGCTTCTGAGCATTGTTATTATTATTATTATTAATTATATTTATTACTCGCTCTTTCAGAAAGCAAACAGTAAAAAGTGTCAAGACCAGCATTTAAAAATCCTAAAATGCTCATCAGTAATAAGTATAAAATACATGAATATTGTCTGTAAAATACAAGAATCCTCTTAAAGGCCTGTCTGCTCTAGCATCCTTCTTTTCACACTGGCCAACCAGATTACCTACAGGGAGCCTGTAAACAGGACCGGAGTTCAACAACACTCCCCACCTCTGATTCCCAGCTTAGCTGGTGCAGGGCAAGCAGTGCATGGTCTACAGAGCACCGTAATAATAATAATAATAATAATAATAATAATAATAATGATTAATAATTATATTATTAATTATTAATAAATATAAATTATTATTATACCCCACCCATCTGGCTGGGTTTCTCCAGCCATTCTGGGCGGCTTCCAACACATATAAAAACATAATAAAACATCAGACATTAGAAACTTCCAAATACAGGGCTTTGCTACCACTCCCTGCCCTCCAGACTCTGCCACCTGAGGCAAACTACGTCACTTTGTTCAATAATAGGGCTGAACTTTCCAATTAAGGGGTCTCTTGCTCATCGGCTTGAGTCCAGGCTCAGAGCTAGTCAAGAGCTGTATCTGGCACCTATTTCTCTCTGAATCCAGTTTAATGGGCTGTCCCTTCCTTGTCTGGGTCAGAGTCCAGGCTGCATTGGGGCAAGGAGTTCACTTGGGCCAACTTAATGCATGAACTGAGCAATGACAGGAAATAATGATTTCCGATGAACAAAACCCTCTCTGGAAGATCAAGCTGTGCTTGTTTTCTGTTCAGATCCCTTTGTGAAGATCCAACTTGTTCATGGTTTAAAACTGGCGAAAACAAAGAAGACTTCTTGCAAGAGGGCTACCATTGACCCCTTCTACAACGAGTCCTTCAGTTTCAAAGTGCCCCAAGAAGAACTTGAAAGTGCCAGTTTAGTCTTCACAGGTATGTTCACCTATCTCTTTCAAATGTGGTTTGTAGGCCTGCCATACAGTTGAAGAATTTTGGCTGATTAATTCATGGGACTTTTCGTCAATTAATCAACTAACAGCTAGGGTTGTAAGAAGATAGAGATTTCTGTTGTGATCAACCTTTGTTGGTCGCAATCAACGCTGTCTCCATTCTGCTGCAGCTTTGTTTCCATCAACTACTATGTCATTCATCTCACTGTCCACTAATTAAGATGCATTACTATTTAAATCAGGTGTGTAACTATATCCGTAACTTAAAGGAAACATCAAAACAATGGGGGAAAGAGTAATTACATATTGTTTGCAGACTTCCTCTTTCTCCCCTGTTGTTGTTGGAATTCTCCAGTATCCCTAGTAACAGTGCAATTTTACTATATCTAGTCAGAAGTAAATCTTACTGACTCCAGTAGGACTTATCCCAGGTGAGTAGGGTTGGGTTGGCAGCCTAAATCTTCATTTATGTACAAAAAATGGTTTTAAAGAATAAACATGCCTTTTGTGGTTTGAATTGATACCCACAGTTGGGTCAGGGTGTGACGGAAGCCTCTTCAGCTTCCAAAATCTCCTCCCATTCCGCTGAGAGTTGTCATCGTCCTCAACATCTGGCAATCAGCACATCAGACATCCCTGATCTTGCCCCACGATGCCCAGAACTTCAGAAAACGAAAGCAAGGTTCTGTCTCATGTCTCAAATGAAGTACCTCTCTTTTGAGTGGACCAAAACAAAACCGCTCACACAAAAAGCAGCCCCCTCAGAAGCGCCCAATCGAGATCCGAAGGGATTTTATCCTCTGTGCACACCCACCCTAGTAGAAACAGATGTTGCTGTTGAGACGAGATGCTGAAATGAGAACCTATTAGCTTGTTTCCAAACATTTCCAAATGAAAGCGATGCTCATCAGCAATTTAAATTGCAAACGTGATGTACAGAAATTTCCTCTGTGGAAAAGGCAGCATGCATAGTTTTGAATGCACTAGATCAGGTGTGGGAGGAAGGAATTGTTCCTGTAATCCATTGAGGGCCTTATTCTGAAATAGAAAAAGACAGTCACCTAAGCCACATTCTCCTCCTCCCGCTCTCTCACCCACAATATATAAACATTACCAGCTGTCTGGAGTCAGTTGCCTTTATTAAGAGGAATTGTTTCCCCTGTGTCATTATTATGATTAGTGTTTTTGCACAGCTTTGGGTTGTGGGGAGGGCATGTGGAGCGTTTCAGTTCCCACCCAGAAAGCTTTCAGGCCCTGTGCAGGTTCCTAGGCTGTCTTTTGGTAAATCCATCCCCAGGCTTCCACAGACTTGACAAGCTGGAACATCTGAAGGGGAGGGCAAGTAAGATGACAGAGGGTCTGGAAACCAAGCCTTGTGAAGAACGATTGTTGGGTATGTAGAATCTAGACGAGAAGACTGACAGAAGATTTGATAGCCAACTTTAAATATCTGTCACATGGAAGATGGAGCAAGCTTGTTTTCTGCTGCTCTGGAGTGTGGGAACCAAATTCAAATGACAAGAAAGGAGATGCCAACATTAGGAGGAACTTTCTGATAGTGAAAGCTGTTCAAAAGTGCAATGGACTACCCTAAAAGGGTGTTGGGCCTCCTTGGAGGTTTGTAAACAGGTTGGGTCGGCATCTGCCAGGGATTCTTTAGCTGTGATTCCTATAGCACAGGGTTGGACTAGATGATCCTTGGGATCCCTTCCAGATCTACAGTTCTATGACTTATCTGTTCATGGTTGTCCTCTTCCCTTTCCCCAGATCCTTGTCATACCTGACCTCCTGTGGGTGTGTTACCTACCAGGCTTGAATTGAGTGTTTTATTCCACTAGACTGGGACAGATTACAGGTGGAAGGACTACCTGGCCTGAACCTTGTTGCTCTACAACGTCCCTGCCAGCAGGACTGCAAACTGAAGTTAGTTGGGCCATCAGGAATCAGGCGACTTGGGGAGCCAGTAGAAGCTTTGCTGGCCTTAAATAAGAACTTCCTCGGGCTTGGCTCTTCAGTCTGGGCATGTTTTCTGTGAAAGGATGTGTTAAACCAGGGATTGGGAACCTCCAGTCTGTAGGTTCCTGTTTGGCATGCAAGACAATTTCCCCTCAACCTACAACCATCTGCCCCCCAGCACCTGACATCAGTTAAGGTTGTGGCTGCAAGCTGAATGTTAGCTTCCGATTCTCCCTTTGCAAGTGGGACTCGCTGGCAGTGCCAGTCAGCTAATTGGCATGTTCAGTGAGCCCCTCTTTCTCCACACCTTCGAGGAGATATTTCTCCTCTATAGACGTGTGTAGGGATGCTGCCCCTAGATGTTCGCTCAGTGTTGGCTTAAGTAAGGAATTCCATTCACAATCTAAATTCCATTCACAATCTAAATGTGAATGGTGATCTGAAATAATTTAGTATCTCAGGGCCAGGTTTGAGTAGGGATGGGGGGAAAACACAACAGCTAGATGGACCAATGGTGCTGTATAAGGCAACTTCCTAGGCTGCTATTATTATTATGACGACTACAACTGTTATTGATATTACTATTACTATTGCCTCTGGGAGTGGAAAGACAAAGACTGATCCTGGGTTTCTAGCTGATGCCTGAGTGAATAGGCTTCTGAGGCTATGGAATAAGTACACATTGTAGATTGTGCTTTTGTTTGTTCCCCAGTTATGTGCTCAGGCCTCGCGGCTATGCTTTTATTCGCTGTTACAGAGGCCACAAGACCAGCAATGGTTTGTTCTCTTTATTGGCAGGCTGGGTTTGCAGAGCAGTTGCAGGCGAACCGTTTAATTATTGAAAGGCTTTTGAAATATGTAGCAGGAAAACAATCTACATGAAATGGAAAGCTTTGGGGGAACATGTGTTAGGATGTTTGTGTGCAAATAAGTTTGTGTAAGATTAGACTGGAGCAGGGGGAGCACTTTGAATCATAGAACTGTAGAGTTGGAAGGGAACCCCAGGGGCTATCTTGCCCTGCCCCCTGAAGCACAGGAATCACAGCCAAATAATCCCTGACAGATGGCCATCCAAACTCTGCTTCAAAACCCCTGTTTGAAAACCTACCATCCACTCCACTGTCAAACAGCTCTTCACATCAGAAAGTTCTTCCTAATGTCTACCTGGAATCTCTTTTCTTGTAATTTGAATCCATTGGTCCAGTCCTCTGGAGCACCAGAAAGCAAGCTTGCTCATCATCTGAGGCCCTTTTTGGTGCGCCTTCCCTACAAGAGGTCCAGAGAGTGGCAACACGAGAACAGGCCTTTTCTGCAGTGGCTCCTTGTTTTGTGGAATGCTCTCCCCAAGGAGGTTCAGTTGGCACCTTGATTATGCACCTCTAGGTGTCGGGCGAAAACATTCCTCTTCAACCAACATCCAATGCCCTTTCAAATGTGTTTGTGGGAAGGGGAGAAAGGGGTCATTGGTTTGTGTGGTGGTTTTTTTGTTTGTTCTTGTTTTTATTATGTGTTTTGTGCTTTTATCTTGTATAAACCTGTTGTGAACCTGTTGTATAGTCTGTGGTGAAGCGCCCTGATATCTATGGATGAAGGGTGGTATACAAATTTAATCATCATCATCATCATCATCATCATCATATTCCATGTCACAGCCCTTCAGATATATGAGGATGGCTATCATATCACCTCCAGGCTAAAGCATGCCCAACTCCCTCAACCAATTGTCATAAGGCTTGGTTTCCATCTTTATCATCTTGGTTGCCTTCTTTGCGGCTGCTGGAGCTGCTGAACCTCCTCCTTCCTTACCAAGGGGAGGGGAAGTGAACCAGCAGGTGGCAGCAGTGCTCCTGGTTGCTCAGCTTCTGTAGCCCAGAAAGAGAGTGGGGAAGAGAGTGAGCCATAGAATGGCCACTTAATCATCTCCAAAACAATAATATACTGTACAGTATAGGATATGCATCACCCAGAAAGAAGAGAGGGCGCAGATTCTCATGAAATTTGGCCCATGTTTATTTATACGTGTAGATGCAAACTTGGAAATAGTGGGTGGAATTCAATGCTAGACCTACTCAGAGTAGGCTTACGTTTCGGGATGTGGGTGGCGCTGTGGGTTAAAGCACAGAGCCTAAAAACACTAGTGGGTTTTAAGGGAGCTCTGTAAGAAGCAAAGGGTACTGTCTAAAGGAAAACAGAGGAACCAGAATGATCAACGGCACTACAAAATAAGAAATGCGGAATTATTGGTTTTTATCAATACGGATGATTTGTGGAAAGGTTGAAGGAAGTCACTTTTGTAAAATATGTGAACACTAAGTGGAATACTATAGTTTGTTCTGTATTTCGATTTATGTAAATCAATAAAAATTATGTATGAAAAAAAAATAAAGCACAGAGCCTAGGACTTGCCGATCAGAAGGTCGGCGGTTCGAATCCCCGCGACGGGGTGAGCTCCCGTTGCTCGGTCCCTGCTCCTGCCAACCTAGCAGTTCAAAAGCATGCCAAAAAAGTGCAAGTAGATAAATAGGTACCACTTCGGCGGGAAGGTAACGGCGTTTCCGTGTGCTGCTCTGGTTCGGCAGAAGCGGCTTAGTCATGCTGGCCACATGACCCGGAAGCTGTCTGTGGACAAACGCCGGCTCCCTCGGCCAGTAAAGCGAGATGAGTGCGCAACCCCAGAGTCAACCACGACTGGACCTAATGGTCAGGGGTCCCTTTACCTTTAGCTTTTTAAGCTACATCTATTTTGCATTTTACCCAGTGACTAATCTAAATGGAAAAACAGAGTTGTCTCCAACTAAGTTTTGCTCACACTGGTCTCATATGCTTGTAGGTAAGAAAAAGTGGTTAAATCTACCATCAAAAAGATAGAGAAGCAAGCTGATAGGCTAAAGATACAGGGATAGTCTTGGAATCTGAAGGTCCCTAACAATGTCTGTTTTAACCCTGCAAAACACCTCATTTGCAAGCTGAGTTGCACCCAAACTTCCAACGCTCTTTGTGTTGCAGTCTCAGTTCTATCTTTAGTCGAAACTATTTGAGCGGATCAGCAGTTCAAATAATAAAACAACAAAGTCACAACTGAAAAACCGAAAATGAACAAACCTGTAAAAGGGCAAGAACTGTTGTGAAACTGAAACCAGCACACAACAGAATTAAAACCTCGCTATAAAACCACACACCCATGCTTTCTAGTTGATAATTTATTTTTAAAGGCATTTTCATTACCAAAACAATGCAGATTACACAAAAGGTTTGCGTAAGTGCAAAGATTCTAAAGAAGAACATAATAATAATCCCATGGTGAGGAATGGAGTTGGAACTAAATGCAGCTCAATGAAGACAGTGGTCAGTGGATACGGCATGTTGGTTGATTGTTGGGGAAGGGAAATGGGGGCAGGGTGGTGAATGGAATGGAGTGGAAAAGGACATGGCTGGCTGGCTGGCATTTTGGTCAGAAACACTCCACTCTGCATCATTTTGTTGCAGGTACCACTTCTGCAGGTAGATAATTGTTCAGCAGTGTTCCCTTTCTCTTTCATTGCTGCTAGACTTATCCTGGTACAAATCTATTGACAGGAAAGAAGGAAGACAATTTCTGGCATGATTTCTGCAGCTCTGCCAGTTCTGTCACTGCTTTCTCTGGGTCCTTTTGGGTGGGATTCAGTCACATAATGTCAAATTCAAGGTTGCACAGTTATGCTTGCTAGAGAGCTCTCTAGATAATTGTTCCAGTCAAGGAGAGATCTGAGAGTTAGGGTTGGCGTTGCAGCTGCTTTTTCAGTCTTTACTCCCTCACCCCCACCCCATCTTCCTTTCTCCCTGCCTCTCTCTTTGTTATCTTCAGTCTTTGGCCACAACATGAAGAGCAGCAACGATTTCATTGGGCGGATTGTGATTGGCCAGTACTCCACAGGCTCTTCGGAATCCAAGCACTGGCGGAGGATGCTGAACTCCCACCGCACGGCTGTGGAGCAGTGGCACACTCTCCGGTCACGAGCTGAATGCGACCGCGTCTCCCCGGCTTCCCTGGAGGTGACGTGAGGACGCCAACGCTGCTAGCAAGCCACTGAGCAGATCTATACAAGACAAGTCATACACACAAACACACACACACTTGCATATAATCACTATGGAATCCACAACAACTCTTAATGGCCGCTGGCAACGAAAAAAATGGTTGCATTAGCCTCCGTGCTACCTATTATTCCATCCACCCCATTGATTGTTTTACTCAGGATCACATATCAACCACTACATCCACATCAGAAGGTGATGCTGTTGTGTAGGACAGCGGAAGCTGCTCAAAGGGTTGTCTGTTAATACCTTTTCAGAAATCCTTTGTTGCCTGCTATGTCCTTGTGCGGTGCAGATAGCAGACTGCTTAGCTGCGGAAAAGCTTCATGGTTTCCTCTCCACTGTGCCATACTCTACATCTCGTGTGAGCAATTGTATCGGGAGGTATCAGATCCTGTGTGTTATCCGTGGTGAATGCGTGGTAGATTACTAGGATGTTGTTTCAGCGGTAGAGTGTATGGTGTAAACACGTCTAAACCCAGTCCTTCCTTTGTCACTGTACTAGCTTAACCAAATCAGATATAACGTGTGCTTCTGTGTCTGGAGCTGTGCCCTTGGGCAGAATGGGGTGGAGGCAGTCGTCTCTTTCCTGCTCAATCACACATGCTAGCATTTTGTAAACTGTTGCATCATTCAAGAACTCTCTGGTGTACTGCTATGAAAGCTGCAGTCCACAGCTGGATCACCCTTGAGCAGGCCTCTGAAAGCATTGCTCTTCAACCAGTTGGTTGGAACCCATCACCTGGTTGCAACCTGATCTAAGGTGGGTTGAAATGGTAGCACTACTACCAGAATTGGGGTATGTGCATGTTTGACTTAAGAGTGGGTCCTGGGTCTGAAAAGGCTGAAGACTCCTGCATTAAAGTCAACGAAGCTCATTTTGGAGGAGGGAAATTGTGGGTGGCAGCCTAGTTGCAGTGCTAGTTCCAGAAGTATGCAATGTTCTGGGATATGTGAGCTGCCCAGTTTGTTTCCACGGTTCAGGTTCCATGAGTGCAAAGTGCGTGTGGAGTTGTCCTTTCCCTTGGAAGCGGTGGAGGCACGGAGGAGCCAACCACCCAGCAGAGCGAGGTGGGTGCTGAGGGTGCAAGGAGTTGCACCCTGTAGTCTACCTGCTATCCTCAAGGACAGTGGAGGGTGTTGAAATCAGGTTCAGCCCCTGGCCCAATCTGCTTCTGGAAGGAGGCAGGTTCCACTTTGTGCTTTGCCTCACTCAAAACAACTGTAGTAGGGACTTGTATGCACCACCCTCCCGGCACATCATTAGAAATGGGGCACATGTCCCTCTAAAGGCTATGGCTGAACTTGAAAGTGGAGGCATCTGAAGGTTTCAGAGAACTGTTTGTGTCAAATCCCACCCCCATTTTAGGAAGCTTTTGTGGCAACGTTCACAAAAGCCCTAATGCCGTGTGAGTTGCATTTACATGTGATAGTCAAGTTGATCTCTCCACACACACACACACCCCACTTTGTATTTCAGTGTGTTGAACTGGTCTTGAGTGTAAAGTCAGCAAATGTCTTTGTATTTACCTGCCACATACAGAAAAGGTGTAGGGAAGTAGGTTGAACCTTCTATAATACTGTAGAGATCAGGGATGGGGAACGCCCTCCCACCAGATGTCAAAGAGAACAACAACTACCAGACTTTTAGAAGACATCTGAAGGCAGCCCTGTTTAGGGAAGCTTTTAATGTTTGATGCACTACTGTATTTTAATAGTTTTGGTGGAAGCTGCACAGAGTGGCTGGGGAAGCCCAGCCAGATGGGCGGGGTATAAATAATAAATTATTATTATTATATAACCTCAGGCTGCCAGAGAGGCCCCTCCAGGCGTCTCCACAGGGCACACACCCGCTTGAGTCACAGTGCTCACCTGCCCTGCTTTGCAGCCTCCTATACTGTTTTTGTCTGGCTGGGATGTGTCCTCAAACTCTGATAATGCTTCTTGTGTGCCTAGGTGGAGATGAGAGAAAGGTATGTGTGAGTATGAAGAAACTAGCCCACTGTTCTGTTCACCTTTGCCTTTGCCCTCTCCCTGCCACTGGTCATGTGGCCCCTGGAAGGTCACTCAGGAGGAAATGTGGCCCCTGGCCTGAAAACGTTGCCCCACCCCTGGAATAGATGAGCTGAGCAAGTTGAATGTATGTGAGATTGAACACTTGAACAGCTCGTTTGCTGGGATCCACTGTGGGAGAGGGGATTCCTGTGGGATTTCCAAGAGGCATCTGATTGGTCGCTGTGGGAAATGGGAATTTGAGCTTTTATCTGATACACAGGGCTCTTAACGCTCTTGTACAATTACAAAGAGAACCTGTATTGGGACCCCAAAAAGAATATAAATTTGGTTCTTATAAGGTGTAATATTCCTGTATGAAAATTAACTTAGTATATCACTGTTAACTTTTATAAGTAGTAAAACCTTTTTTTAAAAAAATAATAATGCACGGAACCATGGCACATGGAGACAGCAATCTGAGCATTTGCAGCAGTATTCATGCAACAGATGTCTGATGTGCCAGCATCCATCATAAAAGCCGGCACGGGCTGAATTTACTTTGACATAAATGTTCATGTCTGTTGGCTCTTAGGCCCGATGGAGGGGTTTTGGTTCCTCCTTATTTTAAAACCATAGTTTCCCAAAGCGGTGGATGGACGTGACAAGTCAGCAAATTCTGTCGATTTTGTTAGATGCTTCTGTACATTCTCCCCAACCCCAAACATACTGTCTAAGGAGGTATATTTATGGAAAAAATAAAGATCTGTTTATTTGTGTCAAATAAGAATGAAGTGGTGCTCTTTTTAAGCAACTCATCTCAAGAATGATGACCTGTGTTCTGGATGCCCGCACAACATCCCTTTGAGGGAGATTCAGCAGTGAGTTTCTTGGGGCCTTGTGGTCATTTGTGCTACAGAATTATAGAATCATAGAATTGTGGGGTTGGAAGGGATCCAAGGGTCATCTAGTCAAACCCCCTGACAGATGACCACATTTGTCTCTATGACAACAGCACTCACTCCTTCAAGAGGCAGGTGATGTGTACCTGGCTGAGCGGCTAAGGCTGTTACATTGACAAGGAAACTGATGTGGCAGGTTTCCTCTTACAGATTCAACCCACACAGATACAGGATCATTGCTTTGGAAGGGATCACCCAGGCTGACCCCCCCCCCATTACATTTATTTATTTAAAATATTTCTAGGCCATCTTTTAGGGACAAACCCTCCCAAGGTGAATTCAAGAATTTAAAAGAGAGAACTAAAACCAGTGCTTTTTTTTCTGGGGGTACGCCTACTTCTAAACATTTTGTGAATCTTTGTCTGTTTACTGTATTTATTTTTCCTGATTTGAACTATAAAATGGTGATTTTCTTGAGTCAAAATGAGAGTACTCCTTAACATTTTTTTAAGAAAAAAAGCACTGACTAAAACAAAAAGATCATCATGTTAACTAAAAAACACTTGCAGATCAGCAGTACTGTATCAGAAGTCTTCTTCTTCTTCTTTTCCTCTTCTTCTTTCACTCGTAGCCGAGTAAGATTGTCTTCCATAAACACGGTTTTAACAATGAGTCCATAAGTGACTGTGGAGGCCAATTCTGGATCCACATGTCCTTCCACAGGGGGGACATTGGTTTCTGGGCGGGAGTTGATCACGGTGTAGATTTGCCAAGCCTTCCTCTTAGCATGTTTCTCCCTTGCATCCTGAGTTCGAGTTTCTTCAAAGTCCATGACACCTTTGGTAAAGGCTAGTCTCCAACTGGAGTGCTCACAGGTCAGTGTTTCCCAGTTGTCAGTGTTTATACTACATTTTTAAAGATTTGCCTTGAGACAGTCTTTAAACCTCTTTTGTTGACCACCAGCTTTACGCTTTCCATTTTTAAGTTCGGAATAAATTAGTTTATTTATTTGGATCATCTTTGGAAGATGATCATCAGGCATCTGCACAACATGATCAGTCCAGCGAAGCTGATGTTGAAGTATCATTGCTTCAACACTAGTGATCTTTGCTTCTTCCAACACACTGATATTAGTTTGCCTGTCTTCCCAAGTGATGTGTACAATTTTCCGGAGACACCGTTGATGGAATCTTTCGAGGAGTTGGAGATGGCGTTTATAAGTGGTCCATGTTTCACAAGCATACAGTAAGGTTGGTAGTACAATAGCTTTGTAAACAAGCATTTTGGTTTCCCTGCGAAAGCAAATGGGAAATCCAGGTGTTACTGGAATCCTGGCGCCAACATGGCCAATGACAGACCCTCCAAGTGTCCTTATTTCCAGGGACAGTCCCGGATTTACAGAAGCCATCCCGGTTTCTGATTTGATCCCAGAATGTCCCAGTTTTCCTTAGGATGTCCCTATTTTCATTGGACAAATGTTGGAGGGCATGGAGTGGTGCAACCTTTAGAAGCATTTGAAAGCAGCCCTGTCTAGGGAAGTTTTTTTATGTTTAATGTTTTATTATATTTTTATATATGTTGGAAGCCACCCAGAGTGGCTGGGGCAACACAGTCAGATGGGTGGGGTATAAATAACAGAGTTGTTGTTGTGGAATAGGATGTTCCTGTTTTCATCAGAGAAAATGTTGGAAGGTATGCAATGATCAGGGAAGATAGGAATTGCAATCCCAACACCACCAAGAGGCCACCATATTGACAATCCCTACACTGAGGGTGGGGCACTGTAGGACTGTGTGTGTGTGTGTGTGTGTGTAAATTCAGCCTTCCGGGCCTCTCTGTTTGGTTCTTGGAAGTCTTGACAGGCCACACTGCTCCCTGGCCCTGCTATCCACTCCAAGTTTTTTTGCCTAGCTGGAATGTGCCTTTGAATGCGCCTGCTTCCCTGAATAGAGATGTGTGAATGTGAAGAAACGAACCTGCTGCTCAAAGGTAATTTTATTGTTTATTTATTTCCAGTATTTATAGCCTGCTCTTCATGAAATATTTGCAATCCAAGAACAGGGAACAAAGCGACACAATAGCACACTCTCCAAGTGCCCTGATTTTCCAGGGACAGTGCTGGAATTATGAAAGCCGTTCTGGCTTCTGATTTGATCCTGGAATGTCCCTATTTTTCCTGCCGCTGGTTGAAGCGGTCGAGTGACTGCACATGTACGGTGAGGTGATCTTGTAGTTAACTGCCCCTGGTTAAGGTTTTTTTTTTTTTAAAAAAAGAAAAGTTCAAGGGCCTCAAGGTACGAGGCAGTCTTGCTCCTGTACTTGTTGCAGAGTCAAAGAGCCTTGACTCACCTGTCAGTCTCAGTCACCCCTGTAATCCCCTTTTAATAACCACTGACCCCCTGTGCATAACACACGCCTTCTAAGCATGTTGTTATAAAGATGGGCTGTTTGGGGACAAAGCTTGATACAGAGAGACTGTGTTCCTTCACCCAAACCAGAACTGTGAGAGTATAGGAGGTGGTGCAGGGATAGGAGCACATTCACGTTTTTTTCTGGCCGCTGCTTGGCGGTCCTCGCGTAGCATCTGCGCACCCATGCAGTGGGGAGAACATTTCTGCCTTTAAAGGTCTGTGGCATTGCATGAGCTTGTTCTTCTCCTTTTCATTCCAGTTGGAAGCCTGAGGATTACTGGCCTGGGGGAGCTGTAAATTCCTTCTTGTCCTTGGCAATAGACTCACGCTGGGATCCATCAACCATAGAAAAATCCACAGCGCCTCCCAGCCAAAACAATCTTAATCCAAGTCCTTTGTTTCATGTTCATCTGTGGCCTTGTTCTTACTGAGATGGCCGACCTATGTCTGAGCTGCACTGTTTCAGGTGGCAGGTGTGGGATAGAAGACTCCTGCTTACACTTTTTAAAAATAAAAATAAAAATGAATAAATCCCTGTACAGAGAAAGCTAGTGTATCAAGGAGAAGGGCCCTAACCTGACTCTCTTCTTGACAGGCTAGCTTTCTATATTAGGGGAGCAGTAGCAGGGGTAATCAACTGATCACTCACTTCCCAAATATAAAAGACCAGCATGTCAAGGAGAAGGGTCTTGGCCTGGCCTACTTCCTGATGTGCTTGTTTTCTATATTCAGGGTATAAATAAATATAACAAATCCATGCAGTCATGCATGTATATAGAAAACTATCATGTGAAGGACAAGTGTTCTAACTTAGCCTTCTCCCTGATGTGCTAATTTTCTACATTCAGGGAGTTTTAGTATTTGTGTGTGTGTGTTTTAAAAAGTGGTTTATATAAAATGTTATAAAATATTTTTTAAAATAGCAATAAAACAACCCTTAAAAACAGTAGACATAATAAAGTTGCACAGTACTTCAGTTTTGTTCAGTGTTTGTATCTATATTGGAATAAAGAACTTGTAACCCACTCCAGGACCTTACATTATAGTTTTAAATATAGATAAAATCAACAACTTTAATAAAGCATAGAACTTTAGAGTTTGGAGCAACTCAGATGTCATCTAATCTAACCCCCTGCAATGCCAGAATCACTGCTAAAGAATCCCTGACAGATGGCCAAATAAAATAATGATACCAAAAATATATGTATGGATAGGCTCAGCCTCCCCTGACATCGAAAATATCACAGCAGAGGCATTTTCAGGGGAAGCTGTGTAATATCAGTGGGGAGGGGAGTTTCAGAGAATACATGCTGCCACACCTAAAATATTGATTTATCACAAGTGTGGAAAACACACATTATGTGGCACTTGTA